TATTATCCAAATTAATAACGGTGTAAATGTTCAGCTGTTTTTAGACAGTTTTTAAATTGTAAACAGCTTTAAAAATTGACTTGGCATTTTATAAACCTTAAAACAGCTGTCAATGGAATAAAAGCGCCGCTGTTTTCTTTATGAAATGCATTTCAGAGCCTTTTGTTTTGGTATTAAATGATGTAATGAAATGATTTCACTGGTGCATCACTAATGGGTGATGTAATTTCGTAAAATGTGGCGATATCATCATCATCATATTCTTTTTCGAATTATTTTTGTTTTTATGGTAACTTGGCAACCAAGTGCACTTCTCCACCCAAACAGCGCATCGCAAACACTGGCTGAACACTCGTGCTTCATCACGTTATGTCACAACAACGGGGAATACACGCTGATTTAACCGTGTTTCCTTTTGTTTTCACACCGCACAGTTCTCCTCGCTGATGCATGCTGATGTTTCTGAGCTGTGATTGAGAACAGATGCTTCGGCCTCTCGACCTCGTGGAAAAACAGAGATTATTGCGCTCCAAGAAAACCCCTACAAACACTGCTATTGCAAAACCTGATTATTAATGCACATGCCACACCACATGAGCAGAATATCTACTTTTATGTCTGTATGTGTCCTCAAAGCATGCATGAAGATTGCATTGAATTTCTTTCCATTATTGCTTCTTGTTTTTGATGATGAATACACGCTGATTTAACCGTGTTTCCTTTTGTTTTCACACCGCACAGTTCTCCTCGCTGATGCATGCTGATGTTTCTGAGCTGTGATTGAGAACAGATGCTTCGGCCTCTCGACCTCGTGGAAAAACAGAGATTATTGCGCTCCAAGAAAACCCCTACAAACACTGCTATTGCAAAACCTGATTATTAATGCACATGCCACACCACATGAGCCGAATATCTACTTTTATGTCTGTATGTGTCCTCAAAGCATGCATGAAGATTGCATTGAATTTCTTTCCATTATTGCTACTTGTTTTTGATGATTAGTAGCAATAAACTCTGAACACATCACTCTGAAACCATCAGATTAATGCCAGTGTTGTCTATAAATCCTCTTGGCTTCTCAAAACAGGACACAATTGCAATAAATTATTTGAATGACTAATATTTGGCACTTTTTTTGTGCTTTTATTCTTTTCCTTTTTGGGACATATTTTCTACATTTGAATGAGAAACTGGAAAATGTTAGGAAAGTATGTTCAAAACGCTGGCTGTAAAACATTTAAGAGCTCTAAAAGAGCAATACTGGATGTCAAAACTAAAGAAAAATATAATTGAAAAGAGGCAAATGAATGCTTTATAGTATTTGTATAGTGATGTTTTTAATCAAGTCCACCCACAGAACTGTGAACAATACTCTCCTGTCTGACATGCTAGGAAAATGTCCAGCCAAAAGTTTGTTTGCATGAATTTTTTGAGGTGCATCTCATAACATCTTGCAAGCTTTTATGGCAGCAGCAATGTGATGAAATGTTGAAGGAATAGTTCACAAAAAAATTAAAATGTGCTTAAAATTTACTCAACTCAAGGCCATTCATGATGACTTCATAATAACGTCTAATAACTTCATACCCCGTTGAACTAGTGCCTGTAGTCTGACCCAGACTGAAGCTTGAGCAGAAGTGGCGTGTAAAAGTCCCTCCAAAGATATGTTTTGGAAATAACTTTTATTTTCATGTGGTGTCAGGAAACAATAAAATATATTATCAGTTATGGAGCCGTCAAGACCATTGTGTCACATTCCTGTAAACAGAATGTTAATCATTATGAAAATATTGAACTAACTGTATGGTCAGTCTGAAAGTGAAAAACAGAAAAAAAAAGGTGAGCACTGAGGAGATTAGATAGCACTCAGTTTGAGAGAAACAAATAATTTGGTTGAAGACTTGTGCCAAGCTGCAGTTTGAGAGTTGCTTAATTCACATAAGCATGCCATGTGAAGACTGCGGTAGTAAAAAGGATCTTTGGCAGAACATGCATTTGGATATTAGGCCTCATACACAATCCAACCAACATCAATCCACCTTTTTAAATTACAGTGCACTGTAAAAAAAAATCCGTAAAATTGACGGTAAAAAAACGGCAGCTGTGGTTGCCGGAATTTTACCGTAAAAAATACGGTAGCAACGTTTTAGGTTTATGGTTTTAACTTAAATTTACAGTTAAATACTGTAATTTCATTTTTTTACAGTCTTTTACCGTTAAATTCACGGTCATTTTTTACAGTGTGGCTCAGTGTTGATTTCAGCACTCATCAGTGATCAAATAAATGTCAATGGTCCAATAAAATCCACGTTTGCACCACTTTCAAGCACTTACCCACACAGATATTTTTAGTTTTAGCAGTAGATGCATAATATTCAGTCACAAATAGTAAAACATTGTCATGAAATGTGCATGTGGCTTTATTGCACAACATGCTTTACAATTGATTAATTCTGCATTGTTCCCTCAGAAAGCAAGCAAGCAAGCACACAATTTGTACAGAATGACAAAAATGTCCTCTTTTGTACAACTCTGAATGGGTTTAATGTCATTCTGACCCTTTGTAAACTATTTAAAAGAAGAACTACTGAAGCCATCGCCAAAGATCACATCTCACAAAGTTCCCTTAAAACGAATACAATCGCACGGCTGAAAGAAGCATTTGCTTTCACTGTTGGTCAAAGCAAGCATGTGCCTGTCTCAGACGCCTCCATTATCCTCACATGTCCAGAGACGGCGCTTAGATCACTGTTGACCTGCGCTAAAATCTAGCAAGCAAATTAAACTGAGGCCTGTTACGCCACGACAGCATGACCTTTGTTTTAAGGCCATGGAATCCTGGGTTATTAAGTGAAATTGATGAGTGTTTTTAAGAACCGCAGTTCCAACCTATAATTAAAAAACTTCAGTAAGACCTCAGTTTATTGGTTTAATGGGCGAAACCAGTTCACACGAATTATCCTATTAGTTATACAGAAATCTGAGCAGATCATTGCAAAATTAAGTTCCTTATGCAATGCAATAGATTGTTCTCATCCAAAACAAACTCAAGAACATGCATGCAATAAGCATGAATTAATGGTGAAGTGCATGTGACCACCAAACAGATTTGCAAAAGTAACTAAAAGAAAGAAAACTTTGAGTTTTGGATTAACAAAGCCGTTTATTGATTTGAAGTATGAAGATTTTTTACTGTAGACCTTGTAGTTTGAGTACTTAGCCAATAGGCAGAGTCAGTTCGAATTTTCAATGGGATTTTAATCTAACATTTTGTGCCTCTAGTAGCAGTGAAATTAATCTCTAAGTAAAATATACAGACTTGGCCTGAATCATTCAAATGCATCCAGTATTGAACTCTTATCACTATGAATGCTATTCTTCTGATTGGTGTTAAACAGACCTGTTGGCTTCTTGTTAGGTGACAACATGATTAAATCACATCTGTTCACGTAACACCCAGAGTCACTTAAATCGAGTTAAGCTATTGGGTTACAAGGAGTTCTGGTTTTTATGAATGATAAATGAGCAAGCAGTGGTTTAACACATAATTTGATGCTCTTCTTTTGCCATCTAGAGGTCATCTGAATAATCAACAAAAGAGCTGCAAAGCTGGTTTCACCTCTTTGAGTCTGTTCTTAACTGCTAAATAAAACAGGCTTTTCGGTTGTTTATCTCTTTTGTCATGTAAAGGTTGCAGAACATCCCATATACAGTCCTATAAACATATATATCACATGTATTGTCCAGTAATTTATGTGTTATTTATTCAGACCTTAATGTTTGAAAGGCTTTTTCTGGATGCTCTGTTCTGTTTTTGAATTGAATTTGAAACCACATTTAATATGAAAATTCATACAAGAAGGGGAAACTACTTGGATATGATGATGAAGATTATGACACACTGAAATGAAATGTTTATTTATATCTATATTTCTATTAATTTAATTATTTATTTGTCTTGCACTGTAACCTACACATTTCTCTACAATTTACTATGGATTTTGTATATTATATATATTGTACATATAAACGTATAGCCTAAAGTTATAATTTCAATGATATATTTGTGTGTATTGTTTGCTTAATATTCCTAATAGATTTGAAAAAAAATCCAAATATAAAATGTTATACACAAAATATCTAAATCCAAGTAAAACATTTTTTAAGTATTTATGTGAATATATACAGTGTATATATATAGTCACATGATTAATAATGACATATATTCAATGATATATTATTATATTAATTGAATATACATGTATTGTTTTTATGTGTAGTTTAAATTCGAGTAAAACATTAATTATATTAATTAATTATGTATGTACACATATATATAGTTTAATATTCCTAATACATTTGATAAAAATCCAAAATCTAAATATAAAATTTTATACACAAAGTATCTAAATCCAAGTAAAGCATTTTTTTATTATTTATTTGAATATATATATATATATATATATATATATATATAGTCACAAGATTAATAATTACATATATTCAATTATATATTAATGTTACTTAAATATACATGTATTGTTTTTATACATATTGTTTACATGTGAGTAAAACAATAATTATGTGAATTAATTATATATGTATTGTATACATATATATATATATATATATATATATATATATAGTTTAATATTCCTAATACATTTTATAAAATCCATATATATATATATATATTCACATAATTCATAAATAAACAATGTGCGTTGTGTGCGTAATATAAATATAACAAAAACATCGAAATTTAAAACACATTTGCATTTAATTATAATGTTATTTTTTATAATAGTAGGCTATAATAATTACAATGATATACTTATTTATGAGTGCATAATATATTAACAGATTTTACTGACATATTTAAAAAAGAATAACATAAGACATATCTTAAGTATGTCCTAAGTGTAGCTGTGTGTCGTGTTGGAGAGGAGGAGCGAGCGCGTGCTCCTGTTACGTTACTGTAAGCACACGTCAGCAGCAGAGACCTCCTCATTCTCTCAGCACGTTCTCTTCCTGCTTCCAACTTTGTTGCACATGACACTTTATGAGGGTGAGTAGCTCGCGCTTTACAAACAACCAGACTTACGACAACATATCATCATCAGCATCTGACGCTTCGCTTTATGAGTCGCGTGTGTATTCCGCGCTTTCAGGGGACGAAACTCACGCATGAACTTCTCTTGACAGAGCGATGTCCGCGTTTCACCTGAACGCTCGCGGTGGAAATGCCCGGATTGTGTCCACAACAGACGCGTAACAGCAGCATATGATCCACAGCTTTTGATTTCCATCGTGCTTTTGGCTGTGAAAATGAGACTCCGGTTGTTGAAGAAGAACTTTATTGCGTTCCTTGTCATTTTAATTGTGTTTATAATGTTGTTTTACACCATACGACGGATTAAAAGTGAAGCAAACGTGGAGGTGACTGAAAAAGAGGTCTCTCAGACTGCTATTATGGTTAAATTTGACTATGAGACCATTGAGAATATGAGGAAGTCTGTCTATGACAGCAACTACCACCAGTTCATTCAGAATAGAGACAAGTTTCCACTGGATCCCGAGGTGGTTGTCGTCGTGCAAGTCCACAATCGTCCGGCGTACCTCAAAATGCTCATACAGTCCTTGGAAAAAGTCACTGGAATACAGAACACGCTCGTGATATTCAGTCATGACTATTTCTCGGAGGAAATTTCTGGTATGGTCAAAGGAATCACCTTTTGCAGGGTCCTCCAGATCTATTTCCCCTACGGCATCCAGCTGTATCCCAACGAATTCCCAGGACAGGGTCCTCAAGATTGTCCGAGAGACATATCGAAGGAGGATGCCATAAAAAAGGGCTGTTCGAATGCGGAGCACCCGGATTCGTACGGACACTACAGGGAAGCGTCCGTCACGCAAACCAAGCACCATTGGTGGTGGAAGCTGCATTTCGTGTTCGAGCGAGTGAGGGTTCTTCTGGGATACAAAGGATTTGTCGTGTTCATCGAGGAAGACAACTACCTTCTCCCAGATTTCCACGAATACTTCAAATCCATGATTGAGCTCAGGAAAGCCAAATGCGGGGATTGCGACGTCCTCACCGTAGGCAACCATGACGGTTTATCAGGCTTCCACGAGTTTTCCAGCAAAACCGAGTGACCTTAACAAACCACGGGCCAGTGGAGCATCAGCCTCACATGAAGAACGGAGGATGGGGGGACGTTCGCGACCATACGCTGTGCATCAACTACGCAGCTCGACTCTGAGCTGGACGCTTTCACTTATGACCGATTAAGTGCCATTCAGAATATCAGGGTTACATGTTGCAGGTTAAAGGTTTTGCTTTCACTAAAAATAGGAAAATGCGAGCTATAATGGTGTGAATATTGTGCTAAATGTGGATGAATCTCACAAAAAAACAGGTTGAATTTTCATAAAATCAAAAGACAAAAATTCTCATTACGGTAGAATGTTTTTTTTTCTACTTTTTTGTAATTCCCGTACTAAAAATAAATAAATAAATAAATATATATATATAAAAAAAAAAATAAAACAGATTATTTGGAGTATGTTTTACAAGAAAATACTATTTCAGTCTTCTTGAAAATGTCATGTTTAATTCAATGTGCTAGTGCCCATTTTATTGTAATTATTTGTGAAATTTACTAGCAATTTCTGAGTAAAAGTAGTTTCAGAAAATTGCTAGTAAATTGCACAAATAATTACAAAGAAACATTAATTAACCATGAGATTTTGAAGTTAAAAAAAAAGACTGAAATTGTGTTTGTCTTGTAAAACGAACTCCAGTAATCTTACAACTTGTTTATATTTTATAGTAAAAATTTACTGTAATTTTCTTTTATTTAAATGAGCATGCATTAAAGGCCAGTACACTGTTATAAAATAAGTTAATAAAACAAATATTATTGGAGCACGTTTTACAAGAAAATATTATATCAGTCTTTCTACTTCAAAATTTCACGTTTAATTCAATGTGCAGTTTCTTTGTAATTAATTGTGAAATTTACTAGCAATTTCTGAGTGAAAATAGATTCTACACCAATTTTTTTGAGTGTACAACAAATAACACCATGATAAATGAATGCTTTACCATTTCAATGATGTATCACTGACTTTATGATCATGAGAATTTGTAGTTGGAAATGTGCTTAATTGTGTTGAAAATCTCACAACACTAATAATATGGTAATAATAATAATTGATAAAACTGGCTTTATTTTTATACATATAGCACAGAAATATGTTAAAAAATCACTTCTTGTTTGGTTTTGTGGTGAAATGTGACCCGAATATGTTTCCTGAGATTCATGAGGCCTTTAGCAGATTTACATCATTGAAATATTACTGACACTGTTGAACATAAGGAAATTGTTCAAGTCGCAAAACCTTGCATGCATTTTAACAGTTTCTTTTTCCTGTAAAAGAAAAATCATAAACCTTCCAGCAAACAGCATGCAGATGGGAGTTTATCGTAAATGACAATAGTTTGAATGTGCCATTCCTTCTGTCTTCCGTTACTGGCGTTTCTCCAAAACAGAAGCTCTTTCGGGTTGTTTTATATTTTTTAACAATGGGACATATTTTGGTGGTATATTAGGTGTGTTGAATTTGTGTTTAATGTGCCTTATAAACATTCTTACATTTACATATGTCTATTTGCATTTGTGATTTCCATCCTTTCTAATAATCACATTTTTTTTTTTTTGACAGTCTTACACTGTGTTTGATGTCTTGCATAAATGTATGTGGAAGACAGGAATGACTGCACAGTATTTTGTATGCAACATTTAAAGTTTAGATCTGCTATTTTCATCAGTTAAACAGGTTTGGCTCCAGACGTTTATCCATAATCACTGTGAACTGCATGCAACCAACTTTCCCAACTGAGACACTCGGTGGAAGTTAGGGTCACAGCAGCATAAACTTGCCTGGGATGGAAGAATTATATAAGTTGTGAAATGTTACATTTACAGCCTTGACATGATGCCAAAGAAACTCACCTTTGTGCTTGGATTGGAGAGTTTTGAAGGTACAAAGGTGGGCCTCGTGTTTTTTTCCCAGCTGACCTTCTCTGTGTGTTTCCTTTCTGTGATTTCCGTTATAGCTTTATGGAGGAAAAGCTGACATGCTCAAAAGAGTTGCCAAATGTTTTTGTGGAAATGGATCTGAAATGCATTATTTTATTCTGTTTGCTTGCTCTAGTGATCGTTTTCTTTTGTACGGGTAAGAGAGTGAAACATATGTTTGTTTTACAAAATCAAATCATAATGCTATCTCTAAAAGCCATATTCATATATGTTCTTTAAGCTTTGAGCCAAAGATGCATTGATCATGTCGGCATGTTCAGGAGTGAATCACATCTGTGTAATTCTATTGCACTATTTTCTCTGATTTAATGAATTTATGAATAAGGGGTACTGCTTTTGATGATTTTCTGTTATTTTTGAGTGTTTGGCATTTTAAAACTGAGTTTGTTTATAATATATCACGTGAATAATATCATATTCTGTATTTGTGTCTCTTTAATGAGGTATAAACATCTTCAGTTGTGCCTGACCTGTGTTTAGACACTGGCAGAGCAGGAAAATAATTCATATCAATTTCATCGATATTTTATTAGACTTATAGTTTAGCCTACTTCATAATGATCTGGCTCTGTTTTCTTTGTCTGTTGCTGTTTGTCTTACTGTAAGCTCTGTTCAGATAAGATAACCTTCATTTGTTTAGGCCTACTTTCAGAGAGGTTTAAAGAGCCACACTTTTTTTTTTGTTTGAAAATAAGAATTTTACTTTATATGTGCATCAAGATCATAACCCTAAGAAAATGATGACCAAAAGTAATATTTTAGATAGTATTCTACAGAAAAATATGACAAAAAATAAATACTAGCGGTCGCTAGATATAGCTACTAAACCACTCACTATAGAAAAAATAAATGTATATATATATATATATATATATATATATATATAGTATGATTCATATATTGAAAATAATTTAAGTCATTGGTTTCCAGTTTATTCCTCTTCTTTATGTATTACACTTATATGTGTGTGTGTGTATACATATATAAACTAGAATTAATCATAAATCCACTTGTTGTAAAGTAAATATATATATATATATATATATATATATATATATATAGTAAATATGAAATGGTAATTGAGACACAAAGTAAATACAGTAAAGCAAGGCACAAAATACTTACCGTTATTAAAAATGACTGCGACGGTGTTGCTAATTCGTCAAATAGGTCTAACAAAATTATTGAATATTTTAAACTAAATGGTTATTTACTGATTTTTTTATTTTTTATTCCAGACATATTACAGCCAATGAACATGAGTAGTCATTTCCAACATATAGTATAGAAAAATATTGAATATAGACTACAATATGAAGAAAATGAGAGTGTACAGTAAAAAAAATAATACAAGTAAAAAAATAAATAATTATTATTGTCAAGAACGCTGTTAAAACGGCGCGCACAGCGTTATCACATGATACGTGTTACTTTTCTCAGCGTTGATCAGGATGACACAATCACAGGCGTTTGTGCTTAATCGATGAGGGTTTTAAAAATAAAATGTAATTTTATTGAAATTGCTGCCCTCGTTTAAACTTCTAAGGCAGGTAGTCACCTGTGAAATGTAATTTAAAATGAAATTTACGAATGTTTCTATTAAGGCAAAAAACGTCTTTGCATTGATATGCTGCTCAATGAAGAATTCGGCTCTGTGAGCCTCCAACTGCCCTCCGGCGGAGAGGCACCAACGGTCACAGTCAGAAGCCTTTGCAGCTCAGCCAATTACCTTCAAGCTCCAAACCCCCAGAGCCAATCAGAAGCTACGCTGGACGTCACGTGACGCGCGCAAGAGCGTAGAGCGGAAGGTCTGTGTTCTTGTGGAAAACTATATTGCAGCTTCATGGCGGTATGTGGCGGACAGCACACAATAACAACAATATAATTTCACAATAATTAATGGCGCAGGAATGATGGAGAAGACTGAAGAGCCTCCTTCCTTAAACACCGAGGAAGAGGGTTCTGAAAAAGACCAAATCTGGTGTTTGCAGCGTGTGGGGAGAGACCGTGACTGGCTGCGTCTGTTCGAGGACTCAGAGGTGCATGTTTGCAGAATAAACCGCATGTATTTTATTATATTCAGAGACTGAATTTGATATGCAGCTTTCTGAGGTCAATTTAAGCGTTATGTGGGGTTGTTTAACTACAAGTTGAGACAGATTTATTCCAAAATCGAAACAACATTGACCTGAATGAATGTTGGAGTCAAAGCAACACTTTGTATTCTCATTTTCATTGCACATAAATTGACACATATAACATAGAAAAGCTATTTAACTAATTCTGATTTAAGTGTGAGAAGAGTTTTGGGACTACAACTATGTGTGTCATAGTTTAATGGCTTCAAATATGAATGCATTTCTATTGGATTGAATGCATGAACTAAATATATGATTGCCTATGGCTCTCCTGTCTCTTTTTATTCAGGTTTCTGTTGGTCGTGGTCTGAATGTGACCCATCAGATCCTGTCGGCCAGCTGTCCACTGATGATATCCAGAACTCACTGTGTGTTCAAGAGAAGCCATGACAGACAGTGGACAGTGACGGACAATAAGGTGTAGTGTCTGTCTGTGTATTTCTGTCTATCTGTCTATCTGTCTGTCTGACAGGCTCTGAAACAGCTGAAATAAAAATACATTAAAGCTAAATATAACAAATTAATTCATTAATAAAATATAGTAAATATTAATACTAAAAACACTGGTGCAATCTAAATGTAAAACAGAAGGGAAATAAAATTAAAGGTAAATAGGAGTATTATTAAAAACTAATGAAAATGACTAAAACTAAAATTAAAAAGAAAACTGAAAATGTACAAATGAAAGTTAAATATTAATAGCTATATCAAAATATTAATAAATAGCATAAGAGTATATTAATAATACTAAAATAGCACTGGTGCCATTTAAATTTAAAACGGAAATTAAAAAAATAATTCAATCTAATTTAAACAAATATTTTAAACAAAAAAAACCTAATACATATGACACAAGAACATAACTTAGACTAAAATTAAAAATGCAAGTTAAAAACATGAGTAAAGAATTTTA